TCCCCCGTTCCCTCCGTGATGCATCCCCTCCATAATCTCCGATGGAGAGGGTTTCGACGAGAGGGGAAAGGTAATTCAAATAGAGACGGTGGGGGGGGATGAATGGCAAAAAAGGTGGGTTGAATTGAAATTCCCCCGTACCCGCCGTAAACGAGACCCTTGCCGGAAGTTGATGATCGAATGCAGCCAAGCGAGAGACGATTGGCAGGATTCAGCCAACGACCAGGGTCTGTCAACGCAAAACGCCTATTAGCACGGAACGGATCTTATAATAATAATATATGGTAATAAGATAATTAAGCTGACTGGGATCAGAGCGACGCACGATGGATCTGGATACCACCACCCAGCCTCGACGCCTCTTGGGATTTCCTGAGTCGTGGAGGGGGGGCTAGACCCTCCAAACGCTCATGCCCCGAAAAGATATATCCTTTGATGGAAGAGAAAATCCTCCCGAGAATGACAAGAAGGAAAGCTGAGAATCAAGTGGCAGAGATGAAGGTTGAAAGATGGAGGGGAGGAGAGAATGGAATTGTGTGGGAAGACGGGAACAAGGCAGTTTTACTGCCGACGCACGCAGCAATGACCAAGTATAAGTCTAAAATCAAAGCACTTTGTATAGATGAATTGAACAAAAGAACAGAGAGTAAATAAAAGAGGGAAAGAGGAATAATAATGTCTAAAAAGAGGCCCAGAGCGATATTGAAGAACTTGTAATCTATGTAATTTATATGTAACTGCACGTACCAGTATGACTCCGTCACGGAACCGATTTACGGCGCTTCGCTCGACTCCCAAGAATTTGCCCTTGTATGTGCCACTCCCGTCTTCTTAAAACGCCGGCCTTGGGTACTTTTTGTTCCTTTCATTTTCTCAGGCTCTTTACACTTTATGTCTTTCTCCAATCAACATGTGTCAAGTATTTAGGCAACAGATCTAGAAGGTCATCCCTGTCTTTCTTTGCATACCCGCACGGTCCCAGTGGTTATTTGGTCAAAACATATCATATTGTCTGAGGTATACAGGACCGGCATCTCGAACAATCATCGGCCCGAACGATGCAAGCCCCCGTGCTAAAGTTGAAACTAATGTATGTACATACCTCGCCAGACCCTCTCCTATGAGTCGGGGCCGGGTCCAAACGCAGGTACTATCAATACCAATGGCCGTTTGGAGACTATCGGAAATAAGCTTGTGAAAGACAAAACATGGCACTCCCAAAGACATGCTCCTTAGTGTCTCCGGAGTAAGTCCAGATGCAGGCTAAGTGGGTACTGTTCGTTTGTGGTGGAGTACAACTCCCGGTCCAGTCAAAGAGATGTCGAGGAAACGAAAGCCGAAGGCATTCATTGCGTCTCGGTATCTCAATTTATCTGTTCTGAGATGTTTCAAATCATCAATGGGAATTTCTGCGGGTTACCCGTGAAGAATTGCAGGCAAAAGGGAAAGAAAAGCACAATCAGATGTGTAGATATCGAATTGTATAGTCCATGCTCTTAGCGCAGCGCAGCGGGGCGGAATGATAGTAAACCGAGCAACGGATGGATCCCTCAAAGATAAGGAACGTTCTATGGGTCTTCCTTTTCGCCTTCTTTTTTTTCTCAAAAAAAGAAGAGGAATGTGTTTTTGAACAGCTTGAGTAGATATCTTTTCCATATATCGCACATATTCAAATAATAGGCGCGGTATAGATAGAATCAATCTCATCTCGTTATACTGTCGCGGAGACTCACCGAGAGGCTCAGAAGAAGATTCAGAGATTCCTATATTACCCGAAAACAGTACCACCCGTGTATGAAGGAAATACACAGGAGATCCTGTCACGGAATTTCCCAGATCTTCGCCCCCCAAACAAGGTAAAGTACCTAAAAAAAGGCAACCGACAACTTCGCAAATCAACGATCGCATTGGCATGCTGGATAAATTTCTCCTTCGCGGGGAATCATGAGATGCATTTCCGTACCGGTTAATATCCCTGCTCTTCGTTTCGCGTTTCTATAGGTTTGCCACTGCGACACTAAGGCGGGGTTAAGGTACAACTCCGGCCGCTCTCATTGAGAGGTCGATCCCAGTATTCCGTGTCAATTTGATATTGTCCCCAGGCGCCTGGTCAACTCAGCGATGTGGGGACGGGGACCCGGATCGGGATACGGTACAAGGCACGCGAGGCCCAAATGAGCAGATGATATTTCTGATCTTCCAATGATGCGGTGGGAGTAATCAGCTCCAATATGCCATCAGTCCTGGGAACTTTTTTTGGCCCCACGACCCACCATAAGTCGGGGAATCCGAGATAAGAGAAAAGTTGATACAAATGTAATTTGTAGAGTGTAATTAGCCGTGGTCATCCCATATGGACTGCAGATCGGTGGAACTTTGGACCTTATCTCTTTGTTAGCATAAAGTACATCAGAAGGTCATACGTGTTTCTAATCATATTGTCAAATCCATATTGGATCGGGCATTGGAAGTGGGGGAAATAACTGTCTGTCTCAGGCACCCGGATCAACCCGAATATGTGTATATTGTATGTCGCGGGGGAAAAGCACTGGGCAATTATTGCCATCGAGGCAACAGGGGAGGTGGGTCGTGGCGTCCTGCACATTTAGCCCGCGACGCCAGGCTGACTGGTACTTTGGTCATGGTCATCTCTCCCACAGGAGTACAGGGAGGGGTCGTAGAGCGGTTTTTTTTTTTCTGTGCGGTTCTTGCGGTTACGCGAGAAAATATTTCGAGGGTCGAGGCATTTGGCTGATTCCATATGAAGAAGCGTTTGCCCAAGGGCGAAGAGCGTGGAGACAAGAGACAGACACTGCGCATATGTAACCAGGCATCCCTTTTTAGGTGAACCGACTTGACATGTTGAGATTGACCGAGTTGATACCGAAGTGAAGCCGAAGTCAAAAGGAAACAACAGGGACAATGCACTATATATACGTTGTACTCAAGAATCAGAAATATTGACGCCTTGCCGTGTGGTTATCCACCAAAACCGTCTCGATAAGACGTGACGCTACCTAAGGGGCCAAACAATGTGCTCGCTGATATCGCAACCAACAGGGAGATTCCTGGGTATCTTGGCCGAAAAGTTCGTGCATAGAGAGAGATAAGACCCCTGACACAGACCAGAAGAATGAATGATGCGTTATCATTGGATCTATCCCTTACACCGCCATCATACTGCGACTCTGCTATCTCCAGATTTCAACCCCAGAGTATTCCTTCCACCGGATCTCCGGGGGATCCTCCAATGCGGATCCTGTGGCTCCCGTGTACTATGTTGTAAACGGACAACGAACCTTATCTTCTGCCTCTTCTATGGTTAACTCTTCTCTTGTGAGATAAAGATGGCTCTATCTCTTATGTGACTGATCTTCGAGATATCTGGACGCATCTCGCACAGATATGGGCATACTCAGATAATTGGTTCAATCTGGAATATCGAAACTCACGCAACGTCATTAGCAGATCACGCAAGGGGAAAAGCAATGACAATCTCCTCGGACTAACCCAAATGCTCTGGTTTATCTTCCCAATATCTTCTTTGTTCTATCTTCATGCAAGTTCCCTATCAAGTCGGATTCGCGAGGCCATTGATGTACAAATCAATGCTGTCTATTTGTTATCAGAACTTCTCGCAGTCTTTTATCTGCTTATTATCTATCTACCTATCTCCGAAGCTGTGTCAAGGAGTTTGTTATCACGAACTCAGATGGCCTTGAGTCGCGAGTCAATTGGCATTTATGTTCGTGTATCCAGGGACATAAATTGTCCTCCCATGGATAATACTCTTCGTGTGTATCGAGCATTTGATTGGCTTTGTCGACGAACTAATAATCTGACTCGACTTTTGTACGGGTTTCCCGTTTCGGAGCAAGGAGGGTCCCGGGCCAATAGAGCCTCACCTGTTGTTCACTTATTTGCATGTGAGCTATTATGCATCACTCGCTCTCAGCTCTCACCCAGCTTTGCCTCGACTATTTCACGCAAGCAAACGCATTCTTCGTGTGGAGAACTCCGTGCTACTATTGTGTGACCTACAATTGACCCTTTAGCAAAGCAAGGGTGCAACGTACACGTACAATTCTGTCAGCAGGAAGCAGGGAACTCATATATCATATTCACAGGTAGGGCGCTTAGGGCTCTTGTGGCGCGTTGAGGATGGACAGATAAGAAATCTGGAGAGAAGGCCGAGGTATTCTAAAAACGATAAATGTGCAATGCGAACATTGTCCACCAAGTACAAACACAGTATGCATTTCCAGTACAGATTAGGCACGTGCCTTGGACAAGACCCAGCGGAGATAAGATCGTAGCCTAGTAGAGAAATAGAGCAAGGGATAGCAACCCTTCAATTGCTTTTCTATGTCGTTGAGTTGGTCTATATCTTTTCCGCTTGCAGGAGCTTCATCTTCCTAATGATACAGAAGCAACAAAGATAAGAAGGGTATCATGTATTGACGAGATAACACATAAATTTTCCAAGAGAATAAAGGGGGAATGAAGAAAAAAAAGTCTATATGGATGACCCAAAGAAAAGCTCCAACATGTATAAGGTAAAATGACACTCCAATCCAGACAACCACCGGCCATGGAAAAAAAAAAACGCATACAACCGGGGGAGAAATGCCACCAAATGAGATAAAAGCACGCAAAATTCTGGGTCTAGAAAAAGCCCAAAGAGAGGGAGAATGAAGAGACAGGACTATGCCATGATAGAAACAGAAAAGACAAGAAATGATGGGGAAAAGCCACCCAAAAACCCTTGCGCCCGCTAATGACCAGCTGCAAAGCAGACCCGCCACGGTATATGAGGATGAGGTGAAAATATAGAGGATGAAATGCCAATTGGGGGGGGGTAAAAAATGTGTGAATGTCCCACGGGGTATTAGAAATGAAACAGGCCGTCTAGGAATGTGATGTGCAACGTGATGAAAAACGAACTCGAAATGCAAAAATAGTAAGCGTGGCAGAGATAGAAGATGTCGAAAAGAAAGGGTTCATGGATTGGGTGACCGTGACGGGCCCCCGGGGTGTCCCATCGGAGCAGGGTTGGGCGGGTATGCATGTTGTGAAACTGGGTCACCGGCGTACATAGGGTATGACACCACGCCCATTGCAGACATGGCACTCATATCCTGCCACTGCGGGTAGTTAACTCCTGGCGGGTATGATACCGAGCCTGGTGTTTGCATCTCCGGCGTTCCTGGCGAGCCTTGGCCCATGGCACTCGTGGCAGACAGGGATTGTGCGGGTGTTGTCATTCTCCGTTTGAGCTCTGGGGGCATGTGTTGGTGGAATTGATTAGGGTATGATGAGCCTATGTCTTGTCCAGGATAGCTCATGGTTCGTGGCGGTGGCGGTGGGACCTGCCAAACTGTTCCGTCTGGCTGCATAGCATATGCCGGCGCCTGGCCCATCGGCTGGCCTCCCATTGACGATGCTGCAGATATCGGTGAAGGGGGTGGTAGGCCTGTGGGTATGCTTCCGGGATTCCATACATTGGGTGACATATTCATCATCTGACCCTTTGCGGCTGCCATCGTATTCAATAGCTGCGGGTCTGCTATCGTCGTAAATTCGTCCCACGCGACCCCGGCGTCCATCGGTGGATGTCCAGCAAAGTCTCCTGGTCCCATGGGTCGGTCTAGTTCGGATCAGTCAGTTAATGAATGTGTCTGGATTGCAGTGCAGAGGTAATAGTCTGCATGACACAAAACCTACCTGGCGTTAGACTCATGGTGGTTTGAACCATTCCGACGTTGTAGGTAGACATGTCCTGCGAAGACGAGGTGTTCATTGGCATAGCCTGGTATGGGTAGAAAGTCTCGGCGGGATCGGGCATCAAATTAGGCGGAGAGGAAGCAATTGGTGTAGTGTTTGAACGCTCGGTTGAGGGTGTTTCCAATCTCGAGCTTGGTCGTGATTTCTTTTCAATCGGTGGTTGTTGATCCACTGGAAAAAACTGACAATCCTTTCGCAATCGAATGCAGTTTTCACATCGTCCTTCCGTATCATCTGGCGCTACAAGACATCGGATCTTTCGTCGTCGACAGTGCACTGTAAAGGTATAAGTATCATGATCACATGCGAATACACCGCTTTCGAAAGGAGGGGTGTTTGTTTTTTTTTTCCATTTCCTAATCGATACATTTTCGCACAGCGGAAACAACGAAAAGAGAAAGACGAACAAAGAGGACGATGAGTGCTAAGGATTTTACTGACCACATGCGACAGAGGTTCGATGATATCCTAACTTATTGCGCTTCTTATCATTTGCGTCCATGGCGCTTTGTGAATTTGCTGATGCCATTTGGTCGACAGCTATGGGCATAGCTCCCACGAGCACGGTTCTGTCGATGTATCGGTTGAAGGTGCATCAAAAGCCCTGGCAAAGCGAAAGGCGTGTTTTGTGAAGCAGCCGGTTGAGAGTACGTCGAGATGTGATCAAAGGTGAATGCGACAAGAATCCGCGCAAGCCCATACAGACGTCGCAGAGAGGGAATGACCGAGGAGAGCCTCCAGAGAATGACGCTGCTGCAATTCTCGGGCTCTGATCCACATGCGCCACACTGGACCAAGTATGATATTGCGCGCGTTTCAGAGCGAGGATGTTTGGGCGTGTGTTAGGGCCCGCCGCGTGTCTCAAAGTATAGAGGTATTGCAATATGGTCCAGGATAGATTGGATTCCAGGTCCGAGGTCTCGAAATTGCCCAAGTCCAGTTAATTGCGAATTAATCAATGATAATTATAGTAATGTGTTGGAATGCCGGGGATTTGGACGGGGTTAGGGTCTAGAAGTTTATAGCCCAGTTTGAGATCGAAGAAACCACACTAGGAGTCAAACGATAATAAAAAAGAGATTAGTAAGAAAAGGGAAAAAGGGAAAAAGAAAAGAAAAATAGGTCAAAGGAGCGAATATGAAGTGAACGGTGTGAAGAGAAGAAGAGCAGATCGAAGATGGTAGGTATAGTCCAACAGGTAGAAGCTAATCGCGGGGTGAAACGCCCAAAGGTCTTTTGTTTTTTTTTTTTTTTTTTTGGTTTTTGGGGGGGTTTTTTTTGGAGATTTTTGATTTAATTTAATTTTCACAAGTATGTATATCACGCCGTACGTGGAACAAGGTGGCTCTCATACCAACTAAGACTAACACGGATGTATCGACTTAGCCCAAATCAACTGCAGGTCATTGTCAATGGATGATCAGTTCAGGGGCCCGCGGAGAACTTCCCTTAATGCTCTAACCTTACTACAGAGAGTGTGTGCATTGTAGCTTTACTGGTTAAATGGAGGTTTATTTCTTGTTTTCTAGGGGGTTTTTTTTTCTCTATCTTTTTGATCTTTTTTTTTTGCCTCTGTACTTGCTCAAAAAAATCATTCCGTCACCACCAGATTGGCAGTTGATTAGGTAACCTGCCAAAGCCCCTGATTGCGTACTATAGACCCGGTTCTTCAAATGAAGTAGAGAGGAACCATGGTCTGGGAGCGCTGACAATAGTGGGGATGTGTGGATGTTGGATGGTCGCTCGAAGTGTACTGTACTAATTAGGTTTAGGGCCAACAAGGATACCTGTCAATCATTGATGAACTGGGGAATACTCCCCAGTCCCGACTAGGTGATTGGTGACGCAAGTTTAGGTCGGCACTCAGAACCAATAAGCTTGTTGGTTTGAGGGTCCATCACGAAGAACCTTCTGTCTCCGGTTAATTCAGAGGCTGACCCGTAGAAACCTTGAGGGCTTCTCGAAGGGAAGTGCAGTTCGATCTAAGCGATATTGACCACATGGCCTTCTGGAAGACTAGAAATTCGGCTATCCCATATTTCTACGTTACTCCGTAACACTGATCTGAAACGAACCATCGGTTAACGTGTGCTAAAAACAGATTCAGGGTCCACGACCAATGTGTGTCAGGCTATTGGTTGTTTTCCTGAAATCCTTTTTTTGTAGTTTGTTTAATATAACGTTCTAAAAAAAATTATTTTGCCCCTTTTTAGCTTTAATCCCTATTTGGCTGATATAATTTATCCAGCCAAAAGAAATACCATCAAAATATCCATGGAAATAGTGGAGTTGGACCAATCAGTGATCGCAAACTAATTCTTCAGACAATGTACCTTGGGTGGGAAAGTCTCTATAGTATAGGTCAACAATTTTGAACTGTTTCAGCGTGTTTGATAACCCTATCTGGAGACAAATTCCAACACATACGTGGCCCTTGAGATTTGATACAATAAAATATAATGTACTTTGGAAACCAATCGGTATACAGAGGCAAGCATCTACACAGCCCTGAACTACACCCAAGTGGGATAACGTCCGAAAGCCTTAAAAAGACAGTGTATAAATAATATAAAATATACAACATAGGTAACATAATGCGAATTGCAAGCGATAGAGTGGGCCAGTCAAGGTTTAATTAAGGATCATCTTGACCTGTAGTAGCGTGTTACAGGTTGGCCTTGGCATTCGTATGGGGCTCACTCGGGGGTTTTTCCTTCTCCCTCGCTTCCTCAGCTTCTATGGATACTCAAATTGCGAAAATATTCTATTTGAAAATCGTGGGGAATCGGTGAATTGGTGAAGTGGTGAATCGGTGCTTATTCTAAACAATATACTTGGGCTACATCTTTGAATAAGAGAGGGATCCAAAAAAAAGGGGTGACTATTAACTTCCGGTTAAACTAAAGAAACGTGTCAAAACCTGTGGCTTGGGGAACAATGTTCTGGTAAGTGGACTGGAGTGGACAATGATCTTCATACTGTTGTATGGTGTATCACGTCAACAACACCCCTCAAGGTCAATAAACGCCACCGATCACTGTCCTCTGTCGTGCCCCTCCAAGCTACTTTACAACGTACAGCATACCAGAGGAGTCCAACGTATAATCTATAATATAGGCTGTACCTTCAAACTTTTCAACTCAAGGGGATGCTTCCACCGCCATTTGGCGAAGAGAAACTCCAACATTGTACAAACTCCCCTCGCTCTGGCCCCACAACTCAGCACACACTGGTCGAGGATCGACGAGCACGGATCTTGGGAAATGCACGTGAACCGATACTATTGGGTCACAGAACAGACTCTTTGGAGTTGGAGTCTGCAGCTAAGCAATCAGCTGTATCGTGACGCGGCGAATGTTAATTGCGATAGATCTCGCAGTACAACATAGTGCGAGGCAACCGACTCGACCGCTCCATAACCGAGAACCGATGCATGTACGGAGTACAAGTGTGTTGTATACATGCGACATATACATTATGTACTTTGTAATAGAAGGTCCGTAATCGGATTTTGAATCAAAGCGCCAACGGGCGTCGCGTCATTATCGATCGGGAAATTGTTTAAACTGAAACAGGGTCCAGGGCTGAGCTAGATCTTGATCTCAGCCAAAAATACTCCTATGTGGGTGGAGAATAGATGAATCATCGCATGCTAAAATGTCGGTTAATCACCGTCTATACTAATCTACTTAGGTTAGTTTAATATTGTAATTTGTAGCCCTAGGAGGTTCATTATTGTTCAATCCGATAAATGGTTACTATTCCTTTCTGGGATTAGTGTAGAAAAACCCATTTTCCCCTTGCCAAACCCCAACTGCCGAGCTCCGCAGTGGCGTGCATGTATACGCTAGATACGCTACAAGCTACCGTTCTTTGGGAAACTGCATATCCAATGCGCTTTTTTTTTTTCACTATGCTCGCGTGGCATGCTTTCGGGGGTAGTACTAATTTGGAATGTCTACTCCGTACTTAGGTAGGCTCTAAATCCCCAGAGAGTCTCGGTAAGGCTTAATTTGGAGAGAAATGCATGCACAAATATGGATACATGTACATAGTTATGCAGATATGATGATATGATCTAATATGTATGGGAAGAGCTATGCATACTGAAGCCCTACTTTGGCATACAATTAGGGTTTTACCTCTTCCCCTACAATAATATATATAGTAACAACACTCCGTACTCCGGACCATATATTATATGAGATCGGAGATCTCCCTGTGGGCCAGTAAATGCAGGGACCTCACTGGTCATTCCGCTTTGGTCCGGCTGTTTCACCATCCTCGGGGCCCTTGACTCCATTCGGTCGTCGGCTCCTTCAAGGGGGAGGTCACCCTTTTTAACCTGCAACCTGCCTTACGCGTCCTCCCAAGAAAAAACCCATCCCTCTCCCCATTTTGCCCCTATCATGATTCGCGGCGTTTTTATTTTATTTTATTTTATTTTTTGGTTTTCACTTGAAGAAGAGGAAGGTGGTATTTACTATTTTCGAGAGGCGTCCGATGGCGCAGAAGGGCTTTTTTCTGCCCACTAAACAGCCTTCGATTTCTTTCTCTCTCACGGCTTCTCCGGCGACAAAGTCCGTTGAAAGTCACCGGCTTTTCCAATTTCAAAAAGGGGCCAATATCCGCTTGCTTATCCCATATTGTACAGGAGAACAATGCAATTTGCGCGATTATGGCCAGTGTGCGTTTCGGCCTCCCTTACTCCGTACAGTGCCCCCTCCAAATTCGTCCTGAAGTAGCAACATGGGCGACCAGTTTTCTTATTTCAATTTGGGAATATCTTCTCATTCGCTCACTCGTACCACAACCATTGCGTCAATGGCTCTCGCTTGCCTGATGGAACACGCGACACAACATGTCACACGAGTTCCCCCGGACCGACTTATGATCGCATGGCACCCGACAGCAGCACACCACGCCCGAGCGAACGTTTCCCTTTCTCGGCTGCCCCGCGCATCGACGACAATGATCTCTGGCGCTTGAGCTGCCTCCCCGCGTGGCGATGATATCAATTGCGGCACCGGGGTGTTGGAAAGGGAGTTCAACGACACATACTTGTATCGATAAGAGTTGTGCAGAGGGTGGCCTGGTAGACGTGTATACCTAGATACGGGTCTCGTAGACTGTTTGGTTTCATTATTCTCGCGGTCGGACTTGCGAGAGGCGACTCCCAACGGTGGACAGCATTCATGGGCGGAGATGAAGCGCACATTATACTTGAAGGGGAAACAAACCGTAGTTGAAACTCCAGCACCATCTTTGATCGAGAACGACAAGGATGCCTCAGCGGGTGTAATGCTGCTCCCATTGGAAGGGGCGTAATCATCGACAGACAGATTCAACGCTTCGATGTTGACATCTGTTGCACTTGGCTCTGGATTATCCATTGGAAGTGTAAAATCCTCTGCTGTGATATCTCCCATGCCTAGCGGTGTCGATTCAATGGAAAGCCTGGCTCCATGCTTGATCCGAGGCCTGCTCGAGATCTGCGGAACC